CAGCATAACAAAAGCCCAAGACATAATTGCTCCAATAGGCTAGAAAAACTGAACATTTATAAGGCATTTATTTTCTTCTCCAAGTATATGTATCTATGGTATGACATGGAAGCTTATTTAGCCCTTCTACAAAAGAAAGTCTGTGAACCACATGTGATCTTGTAGAGATGGGTGAATGTCTCTCATTGAAAATTTTAACTGTCAGCATGTTACTGAGGGGTTCCAGAGAAACCCTTTACTACTTATTGTCAGTATTTCAGCATTAAGGCCCTGGATTCCCTAAAACTGGGCCAGAATATTGCTGTACTACAGACACAAAAATAGACCCCTCCAACAAAATAAACATGCACACTCAGATCCAGCCTGCTGAGCAGCAGACAGACATCCTCAAGCTCAAAGCCCTGGTCCTGCCTTATGCACCCTAAATTCTCAGCAGTCTTTAAAACAGGACATAAATCAAACAACAGGATGTACTGAGGTTCTCATTTCATTGTTGCAGGCAGCTAGCCTGCTATGATTCTCATAAAAAACCTTGATAGGGATGAACCTTGACACCATAAATAAATAATCTGTAAAACCATGTCCAGTAAGCTTTCTGAAACAACCTCTCTCCCAGAGGAACTATATGCTGAGTTAAGATCACTCACATAAACGTGTTAAAATCAGGCTTAGAGAGAGTTAAAATGGGCAATCCAACTTTACAAATCTTTGGGCATAACTTAAATAGTTCAATATTTAAGTCCTATCTACTATGATTCCAGTTCCTGACTGTGTCTTCAGCAATGGTTTTGACAAAATTTGGATAGTGATCTTATGTAACCCCAAGAGAAAGTAAGATGCAGCAGGTTTCAGAAGAAGGGTTCAGTCATTCAGGGCTCAACCCCACCACAGAACATCAGACATCCTCCATGCTGCAAAGAAAATGCAACCCTCAACCACTACTGCTCCTTGGAGCGCTTTGTCTGCAAGGAGAGTTCCTTCCATTTCCCCCTTAGGCATCTAAGAAGGCATTTTTGCCTAAGCTTTGCCCAGGCTGGGCACACTGAACTCCACAGAGCATGGATGAGCCAGACACGTGTTACTCATTTCACCTGTTAGCTAACAGGGCTGGAAAGGTTTTCAGTAAGCCTGTAAGGCAACAGACAGGAATGTGGCTACCAGCACAGCATGGTAAGGTAGTCCACAACTGCTATTTGGTCATAGTGTCACATGTCTTGTGTGTGTGTGTGTGTATATGCAAGAGGGCACAGGAGAAGGAGAAGGGAGAACAGCCATTAGATAGGTTTACAATAACAAGCCAGCTTTGTATTCCCCTTCTCAGATTTCAGCTATCAAATTTCCTACAGTCAGTTTTGACTGTCATACAAGCTGCAAACTCATGCAAATCCTGAGTCACTGTTTGGCAGGGTGTTTTTTTTGGTGGTGGTTAATCACTGCATCTGAGATTCAGTTAGTCTTTGCCTTCTTCGGGAAAGTGCTACAGAAAATCATAATTTAAACACACAGCTCATTAGGAAACTGATGAAACACTAGCAGAGAAAATGTTGCTCTCTGATTGAGTCATTTGCATTGGATGTAATAGTTATTTATTCACAGGTTTTATTAAAACAAGTAATTGAATTCATGTCAATGCTATTGAGTTGAAAATAGACTGCTAGAATTGCTGTTTAGATCCATAACTTCTTTTTGTGAGAGTATAATGGATTCAGCTGTATTAAATTATCAAAAGTTGGCAAAGGCATATGAAAATTCCACTTAACTACACTTCCAGGACATCACTATTAATTTGATGGGGAGCTTAGTCAGAGAGCAAGAAACCAGTATTTCCAGAGAAACTTTCACTCAAATTCACAGACAAAAGAATGAGGAATGGGTTGGATATAGCTAATATACATATTTGACCTCGTCTGCTCTGGTGCTATACTGGTGTTCAAGCACAGATGAGAGGACAGCAACTGCTTCAGTGTAACCCTAACCTATAGCTGAAACTACAGCCTGGGGCTCTCTGTCAACAAATAGGACCTGGTATCTTTTCCTGGAAGTTCTTTATGGTTGGAAGGACAGAACTCAGGCTCCCCTTTCCTATGCCTCAAAGAGATTTGATCAGTAATGTACTTTTAAGAAACAAACATTTTTTACAATAGTACTTGTTTCACCAACGTTTTTTCTCAGAAATAGAAAGCAGGTACAGCTCAGCTAGGTGTTTGGAAAGCAGGCAAAAGGACCAGTACCCCTGGGGAGATGCTGGTCTGGCACTGCACACTCTGGAAGCTCCACAGCCACTTTCCAGCTGCTGGAATCACCATAAACAGCAGCACACATTTGCAGGCTGGCCTCCTCCACAAACCACATCTCATGGAGATACCTCTGTTGCAGTTGTAGCTGTGTGAATAGGAGAACATTATTCCAAATGCTCCATTAGCCACTTCATTTCCTATATTAAAATTACCTGGGTGGATAGAGGGGAACTGTCAGTAGAAGAGGGTTGTGCTAAATAAATCTCTGCATTTAACTGCACTGATACACTACACTGGGCTAAAGTGATTTTGCTACTATTCCCATAGGAGGGAGTAGAAAAGTCAGGATTTTTGCTTGTGTTTTAACCACTCCAGTTTGCAGAATTTAAGTTCATTTAAGCTGTTGATCAAGGAGGGTTGTGCAGTTACAGTACTCCTGAAGCTCAGAGCAGCTGCACACTTTATCTGGTGCCACTGCAGAGGAGGTGGTGAACAGTACCTGAAAAGGTGTGGGAGGCAGCTAGGAGTAGTGATGTTTTAAATGATCTTACCTAGACCTTCTCAGGCTTCTCCACCTTAAAAAGAGTGCAGACACCTGCAGACTACTCCACTACATTTAAACACCTCATCTAAGGCCCTCTGATTTGAATCTAGTTTGGGTCTAAGGCCATCTGGTTTGAAAACTTCCAATTAAAATTAAAAATTTATTTAAACATGTTTGATTAATTTAACAACCAGATAACCAGAAAGAAGAAAATGTGTTTGCAGTTGTCTACTCAGAATTGTTGTGGAGGCAGACAAGACAATCTGAGTTGTAAACAAAGTAGATATCCTCTGACCTCATTAATGAGAGTCAAAAACAGTATGTTGCATAATATTTTTCCAATTAAGCTGCTGAGGTCTTTATCAGGATGTGGATTAAGGTGATGGAATCTCTTCCATACATGTGCTCACATATTGGTCTGACCCCACACAGGAAAAAACTACCTTTGAAATCCCAGATGAAATAAATAGAAATGTCATAGCAGAAAGGCTGAATGTAAAATAAATGCCAACTATACTGCAAACCTTTGTCCATTGGAAAAAAATGTTTTAGAGGACTGATAATTTTTTGCATTTGTTTAATGACTGTTTGTCTTCCTCCTTTCTTCAGATTTGCACTTTTACCACTGATACAAACAACTCTCTCTGCCAGGCAGTTAGCATAATTACATCACTACCAAATCATTCTTCCCCATGATTTCATGAGGCTGTTGTTTAATGACTCATTGTCACATCATGCCTCAAAGTAATTTAAGTTCTTCCTATCAAACCTTCTATGAATTTTTGGAAAGGTGAATCAGAAGATATCCTCTCCATTACTTAAGTATCACAATATTTATTTCCCTCACAGATAAGTTATTGTCCCTCTAGTAGTGAAATGAATGTGAAGTGAGTATCAAAGATCAGTGTCTGTCAGTTGTACAGCAGCAAGTAGCAAACACTTGAGAAGAAAATCAAAATAACTACTCCTCAACTGTTGTAATTATTTTTAAAGATCCATGCAACAGTCTTGCAGTGACACTGAAGAGCCTTTGTGACACACAGCACTGTAAAGATTGTCCCTAGCCCTGCAGGGTTCAGCTAGGTCCTCATGGGCATTAGAGATTCAGTTTTACACAATCTCAGTGGAAGAAGGTGCGAACTTTGAGAGGACTTAGACTTTTGCAGGTCTTTTAAGATCACTTGAAGTCTCTAGGAGGGGGAAGGAGGGAGAGAGAGACAGAGACAGATGGACAGGCCAGAGAGATGTTGATGTTGAGAAAGGTAAGTATTGCAATTAGTTTTTCAAACAAAGAAGTTGTGCACAGACACTACAGGTGAGATGTTCAAAAATGGGCAGTACTGATTTAAGCATTCAACAATGTGATGTCAGAAGCTCCATTTGGTTTCAGTGGTCCTCAATTAGACTAGCAGGAGGAATTTTTCAAAAGTCAGCTATTATGTCTTGTGACATAGTCAGTGGCAGAAATATGAACTGAACCTAGAGTTTGAAGAAGCCCACTAACTATATTCCACTACAAATACCCTGGAGTTTTATCAAGTTGTAGACTGTTTTTTATAGAAAGAAAGCTTCTGTAGGAAAATTTTTGACTGCTATTCAGCTTCTTCATGCTGTGTGTTACTGACAGAAAGACAGAGTGTATCTGCTGCAGTGGTTTGTGTGTCTATATGCAATAGCTTATCCAATAAGAACATCATTACAATATTAATACTTGTGGCTTTGCAGGGACAGTTTGTTCTGTTAAACAATTTACTTCAAATGCAACATCTGTTCCAAGTGTGGCTACAAATTTGTAAATAACACTGCTACTGTTATGTAATTGTATGTGATTTAATATCTACACACAAACAAAATCAACAGTGGAGTTTATGGTTTCAATTCCACTGATACCTTTCTTGTTGCATTAGAATAGCCTACAGTCTTCAGGTCTTTCTCAATTTAAAATTCGTGATTTTACTCAGCTTCATGGTTTTCCATGCTGATATCCACTAACATTATGTCAGAAAACAAACAAAAAAAACTTGTTACAGTGTCGTCCCTTCCATATTCTGTGTAAGTTCATCACAGATAGATTCACCTTGGTTTGAAAATTTAAATTAACCTCTCATTAAAATGTTGTAAGGACCAATAATGTCACCAAAAGGGATGAGACCTGTATCTTGATAATGGAACCATGAAAAGTGTGTGAAGGTAAGAGGGCATATACAAAATTAACTCACCTCTGGAGCAAAACATCCTGAAGAAATACATGGCACTCACTGAAGTCCGAGGGCATTGCAAGCTGAACAATATGGACTGACTTCAGTCATCACTGCCCTTGTCTTGCACCTGCTAGGGAACTTCTGCTTGCCCAGGTCTCCTTGGGGTGCTGTGAAGTGTCTGTAAGCTCAAAAACAGTTGTTCCACTTCTCCCTGGCCAAAATAACAAGAAATTACATCAAAGTCCAGTAGAGCATTTTTTGCATCATGATGGAGGGATCTGGAGAACAAATATCCCACCAGCAAAAATTAAGAGTAGTAAAGTTAAAAAACCAAATCAAACAAAGACCAGAACAAATTGACACTGCAGGCACATGAAATGGGTTGAGCAGATTCCTTGGCACAAAACCAGAACTTTAGCTACCAAAGTCCCCACAGGAAAGCACCTCAATTGGTAATACATCCTCATGTGTCAGTCTTCAGTATTAAAGGAACACAGCTCAGAGCTTCATAAAATTCTTCATTATCAATTAACGTAGAACTATCAATCTGCAATGAACATGTCATATGGAGTAACCTAAAATTATTCCACCTGACTGCTGAAAAATGGTGTGATATTCACTAAATCAGGGACATGTAGAGAGAGCGTCTCATTGGATGCATCTGTTAGGGATCCACGTATGAAGGGATAGTTGCACTGTTTATTCTAAGAAAAATTTACACAGAGAGTCAAGGAGCCTTTTAAGACCCATGAACACCCTCACCTCTAAGGCACCCAATATTCAAATGTTTATATTGAGAAGCTTATTAGAAGTTTATAGCATCTGTCTTTTAGATCTCTGATTAGGTACCTAAGTCAGCAGCTACAGCCCACTTGACAGGTAATGGAGAAGAGCCTACCTTAACACAGAAGTATCAGTACTATGTTAGGTCAGAATTTTATGTGGCAGAATATCCTCTTCCCACTTGTGGTCATTATTTTATTAAGGATGGTCATGAGTACCACAGAACATCCCAGGTCCTAGCACAAACTTGTCATGGAGTTCCACTGCTGTCCCTGTCCCATCAAGAAAGCTCACTATTCTCTGCCTCCCCAGTGTAGTTACTACCTTTCAGCTTATTTTTCATCTGTGCTTTCCCTTGTACATCTAGACTGTTTATCTAGCACACTTCAAAGGCCTTGCTGAAGGAATTTTGCCAAAAGCCTTTCAGAAATCCGGGTAGTTTGTATCAAAAGGTCTCTCATAGCTAACATGTTTTGGCAAATCACTTCAAAGAACACACAGGTTATTGAGGTAGGACTAGCCTTTGCACAAGTTAGTATTAACTCTTTGCAAACACATCATATTTGCCTGTGCTCACTCTTTCCATTTTTTTTCTTACTAATTCTACCAGTTTTTCTACTATGCATATTATTTTTACGTGACCCTACCTCCCTGGGACCTTGGCTGAAATGCTGAAATTTTAGTCTGGTGTCACATTTACCAGCTATGAAAGCAGTGCAAAGCAAGTGGTTACACACCAGTATTAATTGAGATGTTCACCTCTGAAGACCTCCAAAACTCTTAAGTCAATGCCGTCTGCTTCTAGTACTGTGTTACTGTTTATTTACTGCTCCATAATTTTAATTTTGGGGTGGTCATCTGATGAGCCTGTCACAAAGAAAAGCTCCAAGATGGGAATCTCTCTGACTTTTTCTACTCTGAAGGCTTTATTTACTTGTTCTGAAGCATCTTTGTCTTACCTAAGTCCTTCTTTGATACCTGTATCATCTATTTGGCCCTACAAACTCTCTGGCATTGTTCCTGTTCTTGATGCATTTGAAGAGAGATTTATTACATCTGCTAACTGTTTCTCAAGCTCTTTTTTGGACACATAATCAGCCTGCCAGGGCTTATGATCCTTTTCATTTTCTTTGTTTGGATAGTACTTCAGCCTTTTGAAGTATTAACTTTAACATGGGGTAAGTTTTCTCTCCTTACTCTACAAAACTTGGCTTCCTTTTCCGCTCAATCCTTTCTTAGTAGGTAACTCTCTGTGTGTCTTAGAAGGTAACACTCTTGTGTGTGCATTTAATATGGGTCTGCAGAAAGCCTCCATACAGCCTGAAAAAAACCCAAATAAAACAAATAAAATGTGCTGTGAAAGACATATGGATGTAACCTAACTTCTGACTTGCTCCAGGATTGTATTATGTTTATATTTGACAGCACTAATTTTACCTTTAACTATAAGGAGAAAGAATCAGCCAAATGCTTTAAGAAAAAATCTATAACAAACTGTGACAGGATTTACAGTTTAAAGATACGGACGGTATTAACAATGTATTTACTAATACTGCATTACTTAACTAATAATAAAAAAGTATTGCAGTGGTAGAATGCATCCGTAAGAGTAAACACTCAGGACTCAGTCCTCAGAAATTCCAGGCACACTTCATGATTCAGATTTGCTCAACTTTCACTGTTTTCTTCTGAAGGAAAAAAAAAAAAAAAGAAGACTAGGTCCCTTCCCCTCTCCTACAGGTGTTCTTTGATGTTCTAAAGGATCCAGAAATATAAATGCACTTCTTGGAAGAGCAAGATTTGACTCCATCTGATTAAAGGTAGTGAGTTAGCCCCTGCAATTAAGTATTACAATATGGTAGATGGAATTGCATTATATTTCAAACCTTCAGCAAATGATTCATTCAAGAACAGAGTCAGTCATAATCTTTGAATTTCTTGTCTTTGAAGATGCTGATCAATGGAACTTTTTTTTTGTAACAAACACCTTTGAGGGCTTATTAATACAGGTCATTGAAAAGTTTACTATCCTACTAACTACAGAGAAGGGAAATTCCTCCTAGCTTTACATGTGCATCTGCAAGTATACAACACCCTAAAGGCAGCTCCCAGAAGACCAAGACTCCTTTCAATTTTCAGAGCAAAGTACCTTTTTCTTCCAGTGATCTGTGAATCCAAGAAATCCTTCTTTCTTGTCCTTGAACACTGAATTAATAAGGACAAGTCACATTTCATGGCCATGGCAAAATGTCAGGTAACATTTCAGAGCCCTACATACTATGAAGCAAAAGGCCACAATCAGAACCTTAGCAGAAAATACCTTTTTTTAGCTAATTTATGAAAAGGACAAGTGCTTTATCTCTGATATCTCTTCTCTAAACCCTGAAAGAGATGTGTGTATTTCTTAATGCAGCTGCTTTCTTTTACAGACATCTCTTATATGTGCCTGAAGTCATGTTGATCAGACACAGGAGGGAGCTGGTGATGGGCATCTGCCATTGCTAAGCACAGCTAATACAATCCTGGAGCAAGGTGCAGAAGGACTCTAGCCCTTCTGAATGGCACTTGGGAGTGAGGGACACAAGGAGAAGTGCTATATGTAAGTACAGTTCAGCAGAGAAAAGCCCACTTGACTGAGCCCAGTGTTTACAGAAATGTGGATACACAGCTTGAACTCAATCAGGCTCTGCAGATGTCACTTTGTCTTTATGCAGCAGTACTATTGATTTTGTTTGACCCTGCAACATCTTCCTGCTGTTTCTGTTAAAGTTGTTGGCTCACAGCTCTGGAAATGGCTGTGGCGTGGAGTCATCTGCAAAGGGACCAGAGCAGCCCTCATCTTGCAGCAGACCAAAATTGTGTAGCAGAATGCAGGAGTTGACCACAGAACTGGGCAAGTGGTGTATGTCCATAGATGTGATCTGCTCCAGCTGGATAGCACTTTCTTGCTAAAGAAGTAGGATTTAAATAAAACTGCAGAGGAGGGTATGATAGGAAGACCAGCCAAGCAGGACAGGATACTTGCACAGATCAGTGAGCACAGAAATCCTCTAACCTCCTTTCCCCTACTCCTTCACATGGGAGGTGCCAAAGCGATGTCACCCTGAAATCTGGTCCCCTTCTAAGTGCTGGGGGGGATGGCAGAGGTCCTGGGAAACGTCTAAATTACATTCTTACACTATAATACTTTGAAGACTGCAGCCTGCTGTATGAACAGTTCACTTTAATTTGCTGTAGGAATGAAGCTCCAGGGAAGGCATATGAGGCTTACAAGAATTGAGGCATAACAGGCCCTTACTGCTCTGATACTGCTGTTTTGTATTTTCTGAAAGGGTTAAAGGTTAAAGACCTGGGATGCAGGTTATAGGGATGACTCTTCTTCCTGGCACCATTGTTTCACAAATTAAACTGATTCAGTCCATCAGAAAACTAAAAATAAAAACAAATTTTTAAAAAATAGCTCCAAATAACCTATACAGCATAAAATAAGGAATATACAGAAACTCTGACAACTCCGTAAACATTATTTTTATATGGCCCCTTCCAAAAGTACACAGCAATTCACAGATTGATCAAAGTTTTTGTACTTTTGCCAAGACACTTCCTTTGAAAATGAAGTATATAAATAATATTTTTTTGTGCTGAGAAACATATCTTAAGTGTTACGGAAAATAAGTTAAATCTCCAGGTTATACAAAAATGTGAGTGCTCATCCACAGACAAGAAGGACAGTAAACTGGGAATTTACTATAGGCCACCCAGCCAAGTCAATAACACCAATGAATTACTCTTTAAGGAGCTAAAGGTTGCCTCTAAATCAATGGCCCTTGTCCTTCTGAGAGACTTCAATTTGTCATATGTCAAGTCAGAGCACCACACAGCTAGTACAAACAGGTTCAGAAGATTTCTAAAACATGGTAACATTTCTAAAACACATAACTTCATGGTAGAGGTGCTAAGGGAGCCAACCAGGAAAGATGCCCTCTTGATTTGCTGCTTGTTAATAGAGAAGGACTCATGAGTGAAGTGGTGATTGTTGACTCTCTTGGTCACAGTGAACACAAAAAAAACAGCTTAAAAATCTCTGGTGACAGGAGTGAAACTGCCATAAAAGCTTCACATAAGGAGAGCAGTCCCACTTCTACCAGTGGCTGGTAAAATTATGGAGAAAATAATTCTGGTAGTTATTGAAAAACACCTAAAAAACAATGCAGTCATCAGTCACAAACAGCATGGCTTCATGAAAGGGAAGTCCTGCTTGACAACTCAATTTGCTTTTATGACAACATAACCCACCTAGTTAATCAAGGGAAGACAGTTGACTGTAATATTTTCCGATTTCTGTGAAGTTTTTGATGCTGTATCTCTCAGGATACTTCTGGAGAAAATGTGCAGCACTCAGCTGGATAAACACATCCTGGGGTGGGT